TCAAATAAAAAATTAAAACTATAAAACAAGAAAATTAAAAAAAACAAAGCAAAACTAATATAGAAGAGAAAAAAAAAATAACAGCAAAAATAACAAACAGAAGACTTAACCAAAATATTAAACTTAGAATCAAGATTCTAAGATATAATTTACAAAATTTAACAAAAAGTTAAATTTCTATGACAATAATCTAATTTAAAAACTAGTAAATTATGCTTATTACTTTAGTGCCAAAGATAAAATAAACAAGGCTAAATAAAATTAAATTCAAGATAAAAAGCAAAAAAAAAGATTTTTATCTTTTTGCATAGATGCATTTTGCGCACCCTATAAGATCCAGTATAATGTAAAATCAAAACAAACTATCAATACATTAATTTTAGAATAAGGGTTAGCACTAACTTAGGGTTAAGTTGGATTGCAGTTAAAATTAATTATATCCAAAAATTTGCAAGGAATTTTTTTTGTTATAATGCAAAAGGCTGTTTCATAAGCAAACTTATGAGTTACAAGTGATTTTTTCAAAATATTACTATTTTTTTCGATTTCACGTTACATCTAATCTTACGATCTGATTGGTTGATCAGGTGGGTGCGTTACAATGCACATGTGCTAAATTATATAAATCATAAACAAAAAAAAAAATATTAAAAATAAAAATAAAAATAATAAAAAAAAAACAAAAACAGCAAAATTAAAAGAAAAAAAAATAACAAATACAGTCAAACCTCTCTATAATCACCTCCTCTATAGTCACAAAATTGATATAATTACAAATTTATTTTTACCAATTATTTTTAACTATATAAAAAATACCTTTATATTAATTATACCTCTTTACAATCACAGTTTTTTGTATCCCGAAAATGTGACTATAAAGGGGTTTGACTATATAAAACAATTAATAAAAAGAATAAAACAGAATTTATAAACTAAAAAATATAAAAAAATTAAAATACCAGAGCAAATTATTATTAAAAAAAAGAAAAATAAAAATTAAATACAAGCAACTATAAAAGAATTTATAAATAATTAGTTAATAATAAGATAGATAAAATTAGTAAAATAGAATATATATAATTTTAAGGTATGGTAATTTAGTAAAGTGGTTAAGTTGTTACACCTCTAAGCAGCATGTCGGCTAGATAGGAGATTCGAAATCTACTGGCGATGAATTTTGAATATTCTACTTGACGATAGCTACTGTCTTTCATTAATTAGTTGAAACAGGATCTCTGTAACCTTGGTGGCACCAATAAGATTGGGAGATCATAGGATATTTGTGTAATGTATGAATTATACAAATATATTCTTAGATCATATTAATCCAAAAAACTGGAAAGATAGATACCTATTTGGCAAGACCTGAATAGAGAGGTAACACAGATCTTTGACAGTACTATATAAAGATTATCACTAGAAAATTGACAAAAACTGAACAGGACTGGTATATGACAAGGCACTTTACCAACTAGGCCACCAAAACTGAGTCTGTCAGAATCGGAAGAAAAAGACCTGCTTAGTTGCAAATATCAGAGAAATAAATCTTTTTCAGACCATTTGGATTAGTAGTTTGGGATAGTTGGAGATATGGTTGATAGTCTGTAAAGTGTGTACTGGGATTTGGGTAAACTCTACAAGAGGATAGTAGGTAACAGTAATAGCTTTAGCTTACAAGTGCTTGTTCCTGGATTTGGTATAAATTATTGAATCTAGGTGAATTCAGATTGTGGATTTGGACTACTCTAATATCGATTCTTAAGGATAAAATAGTCCTAAGGATATAGATAAAGCATCTGAAACTTTTTGACTGACAATTATAATGGAAATGTCCTAGTAATACAGGTTTAGTTATATTACAGAGAGATTAAATGAGTAACATCCCTAGTTGGGTTACAGGTATAGCATTTAGTGTGAAACCTGTATAATATACAGGCAGACTACTTAAAATAGATACCAAAAGTATATGTGTGGCTAGTATATACTTTCTAATGTAAAGGTTCTCTAGAGAATCTTTCACTATATACACCTGAATAAAAATCTTAGCTCCCAAGAGGCTAGACATTAAAAAAAAAAATATATATATATATATAATTTTAGAAGATTAATTATATTGTAAATTATAAATATATCTAAGTAGTTTTGACAAGATGTGTAACCACTAGCTATTAACTAAAAAGGAAAAAATCTTAATAAGTTAAAGATCCAAAGAGAGGTCAAGAGTTATTAAGGCAGATTGTATTTGAGCAAAAGTTAAGTAAGCCTTCTGTTTGGTTAAATTAAAAATAGTTATAAATAAAAATTAGAGAACTAATACTTGTTATATAAATATAACACTCTAATATTAGCTATTTGACAATAACAGGTTCTAAAGTAATCATAGTGTAAACTTTATATGATTGGCTATTTTAAAGCTTGCAATTATCAAAAGATTAATTATTTTAGAACTTGTAATTGGAGGGTTAAATTTATATAATAAATGTCAACTTTCTTATATATATATAATTTGTTGAATAAATAAACAAAGATAGGAATGCCAAATTACAAAAAAAAAATTTAATTTGTATATTTAAATTTTTTTTTATTTGAAATTATTAATTATATATTTAAGAATTTCTATAAGGCCATACAAACTTAATAAATTGGATCTTATAATCCGACCGGGTCAAATTTCACAAAAGTCTTACAGCTATTATCATTATTTCTGGGACACCTGAAGAATTTTCAGATGACCGAAATGTCCTCTGTTTCATTCGGTAAATTATCTAACTCTCCGGAAATTACATCGCTGTCTTCGGACTGAAGGTCTGGAGACAGCGATATAATTTCCGAGAAGTTAGATAATTTACCGAATGAAACAGAGGATATTTCGGTCATCTGAAAATTCTTAAGGTGTCCCAGAAATAATGATAATAGCTGTAAACAATCCGTTTCGACGAATTTAATTATCAAAAGGTGTACGTATATTGATATAACGATAACACACAATACTTAAAAAAGCCAAATTATCTCCATTAATACCCGAAGTAGGGTAGTGTTACTTTACATAATACGTATTTCAGTAAATCGGATTTATGAAATTTTTCATCATGTTATGTATAAAGTATCGACTTTACAAAAGTTCGCCCAGCATTATAGCATCATTTGATTTGAATATATCGATATGATCTGAATTGTAACCCCTTAACTGCTGAAAATTTGATCTCAAAAACTATATATCATTTCAAAATTGCAAATTACCATTACGTAAACAATAATTTACATAAAAAATTGATTTACAGAAACTTAACGAAAAATTCCATAATTTTACATCCCTAACCCGAAGGGATAAGAAAACAAAAAAAAAAAATCAGAACAAAAAAAAAAAAAAAAACTAGATAAAGGAACGTTAGATATAGAGATGTTGGCGAAATTAATTTCAACAAATTTCACCAATTCAACACCAATTTCACCAATAGTAACGAAATTATTTCACCACTCTAGTTTTGTTTCGTTAAAACCTTTAGTTACATCTGCAGTGTTATCTCAAGGTACAATATAGTAAATTTCCATTTATTCTAAACTATAAATAACATCACATTTGGTAATATTTTCATATCTTGAAGAAACCAAGACTCAGGTATATAATATTTCCAGCTCTCAATATGCAAAAGAGGCGTCAAACTATATTAGAATTTTAAATGAATTGCGTCGTATTGGTGCCCAATTCGCCGTAAATCTTCCCACAATCGTTTTTTGTGGAAATCAATCTGCGGGTAAAAGTAGCTTACTTGAGGCGATTTCAGGCGTTAAGGTCTATAAGTTTCTTATTATCTGCGTACTAGATCTCAAAAATGAGATGCATAAAATTAAATGTTATTTTTTAAAATTTTAGTTGCCTAGATCTGATGGAACTTGTACTCGCTGTGTGATGGAACTGAGACTATCCGAAGTTCCCAAAACATGGTCATGCCAAGTTTCTCTTTGCAAAGAATATGATGAACATGAAAAACGCCTTTCTAATCCAATTGAAACTAAATTTGGTAGACCGATTGATGATCCAGATAAAGTTGAATTAATGGCACGTCGTGCTCAAAAGGCATTATTAAATCCTATGAGAGAAAGCGATGAATATATTAATTGGGGTTTTAGCTACCAAACTGATGAAGATGATTCTCGATCAAACGGTCTTAAGTTTACGAAAAATGTCGTGTGCGTGGGAATTAAAGGTCCTAATGTCCCAAACTTAAGTTTAATTGATTTGCCGGGAATTATCCGTAAGTTTACACTACACTCGACTGTCGCAAGATCAAATCTGGAACATATAAAATTTTTACAATGGCAATTGTTTTTCGTAATATGCTCTACAAAGTTACCGGTCAAATTTATAATTTCCAACAAGTTTAAAGTTATTTAAAATAACTTAAACTCTAATATTAATTTTCGGATCATTAAAGATTCTCTAAACTCAGAGTG